ACGTTGAGTGGCACATAAATGTGGGAAAGAAGTCGCATATTTCGATAGTCTTGGAGATCTACCCCCACCATGGGAATTAACTCGATTCTTTCAAAAATGTTCGAATGTGAAAATCAAATATAACTATGATCGTCAGCAGAAATTTAATACAGTTCTCTGTGGTCACTTGTGCTTACAGTTTCTCCCTGAATAATTTTCCAAATGAAAAATGGATACAACACCAAAACTTGAAATGTTTTCAAAATATGGTACCTTGAAAAAGTTATGCTTGCAAATATGCCCAAGGAAGTGATACTTGCATGTGTTGCACATGAGATTGCATATGTTTGGGGAAAGTTACCCAAACATCTACAAAATTACATCGACATAATGAAATATAGATATTGTTACGAACACCACCCCGATGAAAATTCAGATTCGGATGTGAATGATGGTCCTATGCCTCGAAAATCTGTATGTTGCATTTGCAATATAGAGGAGAGAATATGAATATCGGTATCAATAAAAATGATATTTATTACAATACTACACTTTCAAAAAAGTGTAAATTGTCTCAGATGTGCTGTTGCTGTGCACAACAATAAATTGAAATGTGTTTCAAAAGATTCATCAGTCATGTCACGAAAGTTCGAGCTACAAGCTGTCGGGACAAGTGTCTTGAGTGCGGATTTTCCACCCATTGAATTGAATAGGAACAGCCGATATGGATTGGGACTTTTGGGATTCTATGGATGCAACACAACCAATAATATAACCGAAGCTAATAATTTAATACGTTTCAGAATCAGAAATGACAACACACCGATAATTCAAAAGTACACAACTGAAATTCCATGTGCTGCTTACGAAAAACAAAAGATCAATGCCGTCATACAGAAACATATTATGTTCAGATTGTTTCATGGTAAAAAACCAATTGATATTGTTGCGGATGACATCTTCTATCTACACGCTAATAATAATACATTCAAATGTGAAATGCGATCCAAATATGAAATTGATCTGACACATCCAAATTCTATAACAAACATGATGGGGTTCGCTCATGACATATTTCCACCAAATCAGATACATGAATCCTCATTACCAATAAACATTACAACTGTGAGACTTATCTGGTTAGATTGCAATATAATATCTGGTTCATATATAAATGGTGAAGAATCCCACCTTCTTTTCTCATTCGATATTGATGTTGAACCTGGATACAATCTTACTAAAGGCCTGTCAGTCTAGAAGGTCGTCAATTGATTCACAACAGTACAGTGCGTATTCTGGATCAAAAAAAATAACCTTATCAATTTTGGAAGTGATGAAGAGATTTTCATTATTTTGGAATTGAAGAAAATCGAATAACTATTGTTATGGGTATTGAATAATCCCAAACCAAAACGAGCTGCATCATTAAAAAGAAAAGTGTGCATAAAAAGAAGCTCATTCCACAAGTGTATGCTAAACAGTTAGCACATAACGCTCTGTCTGTGAGTGAACTTAAATTTTTGGAATCGATTGGATTGAAAGTGAGAAAATAACAATGGTGCTCGAAACAAACAGTGAAAAGTTGAATAAGATCGATGAACCAGTGCTCGATCATTCTCTCATAGGTTTACATGAGCACACATATAAGCCCTACGGATCACCGCTATTCAGGAATTCGGATGAAATTAGAATTGCAATCAATAATCTAGATGTTATACTAGATATTGCCGAAAGCTTCATTTACATAGAAGGTAAATTCACCCTTAAATATGTAGCGAATAATGCAATTGCATTCCTCTTTGATGAAATTCATTACGAAATGGGTGGTGAACAAGTGGCTGTTGTTAGAAAACCCGGGGTAACATCTACAATGAAAACCATGGTATCATTTGGATAATCACATGCTAATACATTATTGTTATCTGGCTGGGGACTTTCACAATTGAAACAAGATATCCTGAATACAAAAAGTCATGTATTTAGTGGAAAACTACCACTGAAATATTTGATGGGTTTTGCTGAAGATTACAACAAAAGTATCTTGAATGCCAAACAGGAATTGATTTNTTACTATTATTATTCAATCATATTGAATTCGACTAGAGATCGCGTTTTCATCCCAGCAAAACTTTGTGGGCTCTGACCTAAATACACCATCGTATATTTATCACCCGATGAGTTGATACAAGTTATATCGTCATCACTGAATTGCAACGAAATACGTTTTGGTAGTCATGTTTCAAATAATTAATCATTGCTTACATCTTCCAAAGTTAATAAAATTGATTTACAAAACCTTGTAAAATAAGTTGACATATTCTTAATTATGTACACTTCATCAACTGGCAATGATAATAAAACCTTTTGCTCTAGTATTTCAACCTTCTGTACAATCAAATTATTGATTTCAAGTAAGTCTACTTTCGGAAACGGACATGATGAAAATATGTATGAAAATATAAACAATTTTCAACAGAAAAATACACTCACCGTCTTCCTTCTATTACGAACTGAATAACTAATTACTTCCTGCTGCAGATATATTCGTCTACTGATTTCATAGTGTGCCAGGCATTTCTTTTATGCTAAACAGCGCCAGTCACCCCCACCATGAATCCGTGCTACATTTCAAAAGGTACACATTGTTAGTTGTTACCCACTGGAGATACGTGACGTTACAGCCAAGCCCACCTCTCAGCTGGACGCGTTAACAGAAGTCGATACAAACAGACAGCGAGGGTAGAGCGATGCGTTACGTCATAGCCATCGTCGCATCGAGAGAGATAAGGATACACCGATGAATACGCATTACTCAGCCACACGCCGTGGAGTGAACATCTCGCTTTCCTACTGTTTCATTACTTGGAGGATCTTTGAAGTACGCTGACGTATGTTTGTACATAGACACGCACATGATAAACCCTGAACCGTGCATTCACACACACACACACACATCATCCAAATGTAATTACGTCATTATGTCACACACACACACAAAATCTCATATGAAAAAAATTCTGAATGATCCATGCACTATACACTTCAAGGTCACATCGCCTTGATGTTACTAATCAACAACAAAAAACAATTAATACGTCATAGTGGTGGGAGGACGCCCAGAAACGGCTTTAATCTACTACTGTTGAGGTACATGATAAAAAATATTCGATACCAAAATTGCGGTTTGTTGAGATTTTATTGATAAATGATGAACCGAATATAATTCTACGTCATTCTCGAGGGAGGGTATCATATTGAGAAAGGATTTAACTTGTTCTTATAGTAAAATGAACTTTCGATAATTTGATGTGAATAAATCTTATATTGTAATCATAATGTGGACTCAATATAATGCTCCCAAAATTCAACTCACTGTGAACGAATTGGATGGATATAGAATGATAGAAGAATGATATCACTTAGCTAACCATGCATTATCATCTTAACTGAACATGTACGAAAAATTTCAGCTGAATCGGTGAGGATAACTGTTCTGAAATTCAGTTACAAGATTTAACCCTAACTAACATATTTATACTATCTGGGCTGAAAAGTCTCGAGTCTAACACATAGATGGCGCTGGTCTTATTGCTGTTGAAAGCTGTTGAAATTCTACTCATAAGTTTGTGAGCTACTTTTTTATTTTCAAAACAATGGATTAAAAACCATTTTGCATTTTAATTTTACACTGCCTCTTGATGAAAAAAATACTGTTCAAGCGGAGCAATGATTCGAAAAGGGTTATGAGAACTCCATTCCATTAGAAACAACAATTGAACATTGGTTTGCTGACTTCAAACGTGGTCATAGAAAGACCGATGACGCAGAATCCACTCGACGTCCAAAAATGGCAGTAACACTAGTTAAAATCGTTTTAAATAACCGAAAAGTGCAGTTGCCCACATAGCAATAGATATTCCAGCAATATTTCATGAATATACTTTTAAGGATATTCTATTATGCTATAAATATGCAATGGATTTTTTGGCCAACCGCCATGTTACACCAATTGTCGATTTTAAAGCAAAGCTGCCAAGAGTTTAAGGGCAGCCGCTTTCACAGAGCTTCGACTGTCGCACGCTACACTTCAATTGACCAATGAGAAACGTTTACTACAATACTTTACTTCCCCATTTTTCTGTTGCCAGGTATTTTCGATTTGTAATTGAATAATTTCAAATACAAAAAGACAAATAGAATGAGAATAAACTGATTTATTAATGCGATTGATTCATTTATTGAACCATTCGAAATTTTTTGTCGTTTCCAATAGTTGGAGCAATTCATCAGAATCTTCGCGATGAGTTCAAAAACTGGTTAACACTATCAGGGTTATATACATTAGGTAATGCATTCGATTAAAATCTTCACATATTTTTGTTTTTAATAACATCGAATTATTTGAATACGTTATCATAAGATAATTCAAAATTCCAGTAATACACCGTATTGAATATTTTGAAATATACCCTGGGGATATATTCTAAAAATATACCAAATGGAATATTCGATCGACAATATTCTCTTAATATTCACTGGAGAATAATCCATTCATAGACTCTATATGCACATTTTTTCGGGAATAATCCTGCCATATTCATTCAAGCATATTCTATGAATATTCTAAAGGCATGTATATATTCCAAGAATATTCTATAAATATTTGGAATATATACGTTTGTTTTATGATATAGAGGGAATATTCCATGAATATCTGGGTGGGTGTGTGATTTAGCTGACAATGTGAAAATATCAAAAGAACGTGTGTGTTGGCTTTGTAATGCATGAGCATTTGACTATGAGAAAGCTATGTTTAAAGTGAGTGCCGCGTTCATTGTTGACCAGAAACAAGAACGTCTTGATGATTCTGAGCAGTATTTGACCATTAACAGTGGCCGTGTTAAGAATCACACGTTAAAAGGTAAGACCTCATATGTGTTATATCTACAAACATTGCAAGTTGAAGAAAACCTTGTGATAAAAAAAAATATAACATTTTTCAAAACTTACACTGTACTTACGTTTTTATCTGTTTGTAATGCTCGATACATACTATCAAATTGGAAGTCATTACACGTGAGAATGTTTGAAAATCCTTGTCATTCAAATCGACACTCGATTCATCTCTCTGTCGTAAAATTCCATTCTCAACAGAGAATTTCTCCAAGCAATTCAATGTTACGACCAAATAGTCGCATTGCAAACCAATTTGAATCAACAAACCTGCAGACAATATATCCAAAGTTATACATGTGAAAGTGTTAGAGAAAATGACGAAGTTTTGGAATGTAAAAATTATTTCATAATTTGGGGAAATCTTCCAATCGCACGGAAACCAACCATCACTCAACATTGACTTTTCACGTCGAAAAAATGGTTGTATAGCGAAGAAAAGGTAAGTTTGTAAACTAAAATATAAAAAACTGTAGATTAAGTTATCATACATTCTTTTGGTTGAATGTGCAATGTTATAATGTTCCTTGCACTTGGGTTGAAAAATTGGTTGATTGAGTTTATTCATCCAGGCTTCAATCAGTGCCTTTTTTCTGTACATTATGATTGTCTTTATAAAATTTGCACTATATGTAACGGCAGTGAAAACTATAAGAGTCAATTCACCAATACCATTGAGAGAAATACTCAAATATATGGCTTGGGATGTCAAAAACAGTATCCATGAAATCACTGCCAATATTGTATAGAAATTGTATAAATGGCTATAGCCCATTTTTTCATCAGATTTCCAAAAGCCCAACACCCTGAGTATGAATATAGGAACAGTGAAAAACGTCATATAATTAATGACTTTAGTCATCGTTCTCAAAGGAGAGATACTTTTTCTCAAACGCAAATACCGAATCTCGTAAATCACATCAAATGGTCTATGATTTTTCATTTTATATCCAATTGGGAGTTCTTCTACAATATTCAATAATATTTTATTCGAACACCAAGTACATAACCTATGCCTTGAATATAGAGATTAGAGCTCATTATTTTTTCACAACACTGACCGGCTGTGGTAATGATTAGTCACATTTGTTCCCTTTTTGAAACACGATATATGTAATTTGAATTGATACACCAGTTTTCTGGTATATCATTATCATTTTCATAATGAATGAGAGGATTACTTGAATTTCCAATAACCTGTTGAAAGCTTCCTATGCAAATTATTACTTTCAATAAATTCGAATATTCGAAAAAGTAAATCCAATTTTCTCATGAATTTTGAATTATCCTAGATATTTTAGATTTTGGTAATCAAGTCACGAACAAAATTTTATTTTTTGAACCATACCATATTGAGTTTTTCATCACTTATTCAGTTTTTTTCCAAATAAAATGGAATTCGTTCCCTCATATTTCACATTATAGATAGATATGTTTTTTTATTTACTGTTCTATTGACAGATATTACCAATGTAAATCATTTTATGAATATTTTTGGGTAGTTAATTTTTTTAAACAGTTTAAATTTATGGGTTCAATCCAAATGTTCAACAGTTACAGACCTGTTTCAACCCAAGTTCAACTGGTTCTCTCTGGTTATTTTGAAAGAGTTGCAGGAAAATTTCAATCCACTCAGAAACAGTCAAAAATAAATGGAAAGTGGGCTGCTCATAAAACATCTCAGCATGTATCCATATAGGAATATAAAAATCATTTGTAGAGTTGTAAAACATGTATAAATCTCAATTTATGTATATTAGTATTAGGATTTAGATATTGAGGTTTTTTACATAGATGTAATCTAATTGTTTGACCATATCACATTGTATAGCTTTGTCTACGAGAATTATGTTCTTCTGACAATAAAGCATATCTTGATTTGTTTATTATGTAAAACATACATTGAAGCAAATATTGTGCAAAACATTTTGGTTTTTATTAATTGCTCCGCAAAATTCAATTCTTCAGTGCTTTCTTCATTTTTGCATCATGTAAATTGATATGGTTGATTCTTCAATACAAATTACCAAAATTATATTCGCTCGACTTCAACCAGAACACGACGGTTACTTCTTTTTTTGTTAGCCACGGAACCAGTTTTCATAAACTCAACAATGAATTCCAGGAAATATTCATGATTTAAGTTATTGTTGGGATATCTTTCAATGAAAATTGTTGCCGTTCTTCTTCGGCATCTTCGACATTTCCCATAAGTAAGAATGATTCGAGTTCTTTCTTGAAATAAAAACACCACACAAGAACAATCTAACAAAAAACTCGGCAATCTTTAATCTGTATCACTTTTGCTATAAACGGAATGTGGATCGTATTCAACCTTATTAGTGATAGTCGTTCATTTCTTTATTTTTTGATAATCCAACTAAATGTAATAACACTTCCAAAATACAAATTATGAAATTATAAAACAACAACAAAAATTAATTGGCGCTCCGGGGCCGAAATAGATGAACACTTCAATCCAGCAGACCACTATTATAATCTTCATGCAGTTATTGTTCATTGTGGTTTTGGCGTTGAATCTGATCATTATTACGTCTTGGTCAAAGACGAAACGGACTGGTGTAAGTTTGTGATAGTCGTGCCACTGAGTGTTCTGGCAATGTATTGAATTTATTGGAACCTCTGGAGGCCCCCTATATGTTCTTTTATGAGAGAAAGGAAATTGGCAGATTAAGATCTTCTGATAATGTGGTGCTGCAGGTTTTTCCGGGTTTTCCTGCAGCTAAAATAGCAAATGCGCCACTGGAATCAATGAAGTGGTCCCATAGTGCCAATTAATTTTTGTTGTTGTTTTATAATCCAACTAAATTGCCATTTGTACTACTACACAAGTACTGATTTGGATTAATTCTATTTTTTTTAACGAAGTAGCTTTTTCGTTGTAATAAACATACTGAAAGTTAATTCAATTATATACTTAATTTTTATATATCCCGCGTAATACTAAGTGAGATATAGGTACCTACACAGGTACTTCTTCGATCATAATTAACTAACTATGTAATATGCCCTCAGTAATCATAATTTGAGGATGTACCCTATACCTAGATAAAAGTTCAGTAGATGCCTTAGGTAATTATGATGCATGTAAGGATGAAATTTGCTTGCTTGTATCATGCGAAGCACGCTTGTTTGAGAAAATCCTAATTTCCTGCTCAGGTCTCGGGTAATCACATGGGGATTTTCAACAAGGTGAAGAACAATTTGAAATGTATTCTCTTCATTTGTTAGAGGNCAGAAACCATCCAACACTTTTATAACACTGACTTTTTGGCCCGAAAAAATGGTTACTATAGTAAAGAAAAAGTATCTCTCTGGAATCTGTAGAGTAGAGAGGGTGAGTGTAAACTCACAGCAGTTAGGCCACATGTGACCCATTGTACATCCTCCCGAGAAGTCCTCCTAGGTCATCGTCCATCCTGTCCTTTCCAGGAAGGTGAACAGGTTACTGGGAGATATCTCCTTTATATTGGCAGGTGTAGGGCGAGACTCGCCGAACACACACTCTCTTTGACAACCTTGAGGGGTCCCACGGTGGCCTCCGCGAAGGTTTTGAAAGGTGCAGCGATATTACTGTCGTTGCGCAGGTTCTTCAACCTTATTGGGGTTCTCTCCGTAAGTGCACAAGTGAGGGAGCTTTCCTGCAGGGACAGCCGGTTCCTTGCCTTTATTCAAGGCAGAGCTCTTGGCGCCCGCCGCAGGAAGCGCCCTTGCTATTGGAGGTGATCTGCTATGTCCAGTCTCATTCCAAGCGGTGTATTGGGGTGGACATTTCTGTTCATCCCCAGCCACCGCCTTAGATTGAGGTGAGCACTTCTGTCCAGCTTCGGGATTAGTTTTTGTTTTTGTTGTTTCTGTTTTTGTGTTATTTCATTCATGTGTGTTCCCACGAGTAGCAAGGGAAGAGTTGGCCACCTCTGGCAGAGCTCCGCATTACCAGAGGTAGGAGGTTTCGCCCAGTTCCCCAAGGGGATCGTATATGTTGAAATCTTCTTCCAGTCCAATCGACTCAAAGCATTCTCAGTACCCACAAAATTCGTTCCATTATCAATATAAATAATGGAGGACCTGGCTCGTTTCGAAATGAATCTTCTCAATGAATGTAGAAAATAATCTATGGAAAGCGATGACAACAATTCTAGGTAAATCGCCCTATAGATAGCACAGGTGTATCGACAAATCCAAACTTTTTCCTCCGATTTATTGAATAATGGACTGGCTAGATCAACTCCTGTTACTTCGAAAACGTATATATTACGAATTCTATCTCTTGGCAGTGGCACAGAGGGAACTTCAATAGATTTACTGTTGAATCTTCGGCATACTACACACTTGGACAAAATATATTTGACTGCTTTACTCCCTTTAAGTACCCAAAAGCGTTCTCTCAGTATAGCCAGTAGGCCCTATACCCCGACATGTGAATTCTTCAAATGTTGCTCACGAATAAGTTTCTGAACGACGGGATGTCCATAGGTTGAAGAAGAAAAACGGTAATCTCGAAAATCTTCTCGATCGGAAATTTTTGTCCTGAGTCAAATAATGCCTTCCCCGTGTTTGGATGGACATAACGTCTTGAGTTTAGGATCATTCACTCCTTCAAATGCTTCTTGCTGTATCCATTTTATAAGGTAATTTCCGGAAGAAACCAATTCTTGCAGCATCAGTTGACCTACATTCTTTTTATTTTTATGCGAGCAGCTGAGAATAAATCTTCGTATCCAAAATAAAATTCATGTATCCAGAAAATCGCTCATGGTACCAAGAATAATTTTTTCGAGAATATGATATTGAAGAAGTAATACATCTTCTTTTCTTTATATCGACCATATCTTCTTCGACAATATAATTTTGTGCCGGCCAATTGTCCGAAGATTTTTTAAGCCATGAAGGACCCTCCCTCCATTTCGATTCGATTAAATGTTTTGGAGAACATCCTCTGGACGGAAGATCGGCTGGATTACAGTTACCTGAAAGATGGAACCATGCTTCCTTCTTGGTGAGTTTTCGTATTTCTTCAAGCCGGTTTCATATAAAAGGTTACCAGTGATCTAATCTTTGAATCCATGCCAAGATAGTAGTCGAATGAGTCCACCAAAAAACTGGTACATCCGATGACATATTTTAAGTTACTGTCTTCGATAATCTTGGCCCAATCGTGGCTGCCAATAATTCTAGACGAGATATGGTCATTGATTTGATAGGAGAAACTCGAGATTTTGCTTGAACCAACTGCACATTAACTCCTTGGTTGGATTCAGATCATAAAAAAATGGCAGTTGCATAAGAATAATGACTTGCATCACAAAATACCTGTAAACTCCAACGTCTGTCAGACGTGACCAAACATCTAGGAATTTAAAGATACATAAGACAAGGAATATCTTTCACCCAAGTTAAAAAACTAGATTTGATTCCATCACTCACTTCCGTATCCCAACCAATCTTATCCTTCCAAGTTCTGCAATAGTAATTTGAGACATAATGATACTGGACAAAAAAATCCGATAGTATCGAGTAGTCTTTGATAAAATACCTCTCTTAGAT